TTTTTCTTCCTTATATTATGTGGTTATTTGACTTTACCGCAATTTTTGAATCTATTGCAGGCACCCTTCTTCGCTATTTCTTGGTAAAGGTTGTATCCGTAGGCAGTCANGAGAATAAGCGTGAATTAGTGATACTTACGAAATTCGAAACCTTTTCCGGAGCAGTCTATGGCACACAGAGGTATTTGAGAAAATACTGTTTACGTCGGGAACCAGTGCTATTATCAAGTGTTTGCCACGACTCCCAGTGGTAAGCGAAATGCCTGAGTCAGCACAGAAAAGATAAGAAAGGCGTGGGCTCTATTACGTATTCAGTTTGGCTTGCAGACAACCCACGCGTATCGAATGTTCTCTCTGCTCCTTAGAGGCTACAGTTCTCTGTTGGGATACAGTCTTGGTTAGGCTTTGTAGGGTACTACCTGAGGATGTGCAATGACCTAGCCACAGGATTAGTAGGAGATATACGCATGCTGTGAAAAATATCGCTTATAACGCTTATACTTTTCAGATTGTGCTCTGGAAGAGGTTCCTGTTCCTGATCCGTTACCAATGGGTAATAATACCAAGGATCTCACATCGACCATCGGCTAACCAGCCGCAAATTCTAACATTTAGGATAAAGAGGCTCTAATGAGCCGCTGAAAAAGGCTGAATTGCGGTGAGGTAGACCGATGCAATAGCCCTCTCCAGGTATAGTTTAGACTTCTATTCGGCTTACTGAAGTTCGCGTGGGTCATCCAAATATCCAATCTACAGTAAGATCGACTGAAGCCAACTATACATAGACGCAAACATAGACGCAGACCTTCCTAGTTTCCCAGCGGCCCCACAAAGATTGGTGGGTCCGGTCCGAAAAAGTTAACCAACAACGGCCCTTTACCCTTTAAATTTTCCTCCTATTGACGATGATCAGGGTGGCATGGGTGGCATCGTGTTCAATGGTCTGCCTTACACTAGCTTAGTCACTATAAGGCACAATTCACGATAATTCAGATATGGACGAGCTCAAATACAGAGTAATAGAGGCTATGGTGCAGAATAATAAAAGGAGGCGAAGAAAGCGCGAAAATCAGCGAATTTCAAAAGTCCAAAGGCTCAAGAAATGCAAAAAAAGCGTTGTACGAGTTTATGACGTAGAATCGGCAAGGGAGTGGTATATGGACGAGATTCAGTTGCCGCAACAGCGTAGAGAGCTAGCGACAGAAGTCAAAAAAGGCAAAAATTGCCATGCACTGAGCCTAATCATGGTACTGGTGACATAGTTATAAAAGAAATGTTTTCTTGAAAAAGAAAAGGAGGCGTACGGTTTCAGATGCTTATAAGTGCGTCGCCATCTGTAACCACCTGGGTGCCTCCCATTTAAACGTATTATTCGTCGGCGTCCTAACGCTTCATTATGAATGGGTGCAGCCTTAACGTTGTCATAGAACAGCTACTTTTGAGCGTATAGTCGGCCAAACCGGTTTAGAGCCCTTCCTATGCCCTGCCCGGGTTGTTTTCCTGCTCGACAAGGTTCCATGTACTATACTTGGGAGACCACAGGTTCATCTTGTTGGAAATCTTACAAACCATTTTAATCGTAAACTTCGCTTTTGAGGCGAAGTTCGGCGTGTGCGGTCTCCAAACAGTAAAAACTTAATCCCATATAAAGCCGCTATTACACGTTCTATACAAAATAAGAAATAAAACTGGGAAAAATAATCAAAATAAAGCAAGAAATCGAAGCACGCAACAAAAAACTGTTCTATCGATTAGCACGGTGGTGGGCCTAATACGATAATTGCCGTTTGAGGCCACGCGACAACTAAAAAAGCTATGCCGCATGCGACGCAGCGAACGTGGGAAGTCGGGGAGAAGTCCCGTCACCCGGACAATCGGCATCGCTGAAGGAGCGTTAGATGTGTCTATTATATGGCTAAAGTTGTCAGAAGACAATGATCACAAAATGGAACAACCTACACATGATTATATTAGCATTTTTGATAAACCAATATCAAGTGGTTTGGTAAATCAGCGAGTGGGTAGGAATTCATGGCCCGGGAGGGAGTGAAGAGTGGGTATGGACACTGCAGTGTTATTATTGTACCTGCGCGTCTTGCTAGGAGGGAATCTAGGTTGAGAAAAGTAGTTTGGGACCATAAAATTAGACGATAAAGAAGGAAGACAACACAGAAATCGTGATGAAAGCTCACCAGTTCTTCCAATTTTCTCAACTCCTCAATATCGACGAAGCCAAGAGAATCTGTATCGAAATCGCTTGAAGGATTCGCGAGTCGGTGTGGGAACAAATCGAAAGAATCAGCGTTTTCCACCACTTCCTGAATGTTTCAAATTTCAAGGTATACGTCGGTAGATTGTTTGAACAACTGATGAATCATTGTTATTTCTCAAGAAATGATTGCGATAACCGTGAAGGACGCAAATAGAATCCTTTTCGCCCTTTCTGTGGCTGGCTAAACTTCGCAATTCTTCATAATGAGCAAACTAAAAAAACTGACTTGCTTGGGAGGATACTTCTTAGAAGAAGACGGTTGGCAGAAGCAGGTGGGTTTCATGGAGCCACACAGTCGTGGTGGCAGCGGTGGTGGCATATTCCTGAGAATAAAATTCCGTTAGAGGTCGAGAAGTCAGAAGCCTTAGAAGCCCGTTAAAAGATTGAGAACCGTACCTGCGGACAAGGTCAGTGAACCCGGTCATATCGGAGGATTGTGAATGATCTGGTGAGCCCATGCGTGGGTGATGTCTGAAATTTTGAAGTGACTAAAAGGCATGAGAGAGTGTTGATGAAGTGGAGACGGTCAGAAGCGTGGTTCGGTCTGATAGCGCTTTGATCACAACCGGAAACGATTATCACTCGTTATCAGAAGGTCGAGGAGCGACTACGCGGGTATTGAAGCATGTAGAGTCATGGGAGCGTGTGTGTGTTTTGATGGAGGATCATTGAGAGCGGGGAGATAGTAAGGTCTTGGGAAAGCACCTCAACGAAAAAAAGTAAACCACATTGTCTTGAAAAAGACCCCATAGCCTATTGAACAAAGGGGAAGTAGGAAAAACTACAAAATGAACTGAAGCAGGCATGTTGAAGGAAGATAGAGCCGAATAGGAAAAGAAAAAATAAAAAAAAAACTTCGATGTGGGGACGCCCACGTTCTCGAAATGCGCCTGTGATGAAACAGAATACAAATAAAACAGGGCGCTACCCTTGAAAGTGCAAAGCTGTTCCGAATCAACACTCCAATACTGAAAAAGAATCGATAAACCAGTAAAATAGAAAAGGGAGGAAAGGTCTTTGTTACTCATAGATCAACAATGACTAGTAGGTTATGGATAGGATTGAAAGCCAAAGTTATTTGCTGGGGAATTAGTATTTCGGCCAGAGCATGCCACTTATAGGTTCGATAAGCAGCTGATTCTATTGAATACGTGCCTAATGGCACGTCACTTATGATGTACCACGAGTTTCTTTGGATTGAATGATGCCAAACAAACAGCACGTCGTCATCGTATTGTGTTCAATTGTGACGCATTTCTGCTATCGTGGATGCTATTAAGAAAGACCGAAGCATAGGAATCAAGTCTACGAATGCTCTGGGACATTTCCATTGTTCCTTTTCTTGAACCAGCTTCACTTGGTATATGTATATACGGCGATACCAACCCTATCGTGTCCTACGGAAACCTGACATCGAACACTGATAAACTTAAACCTTGGTATTCATGAAGCGACAACGATCTCGTGTGGGTGGAGGTGGTGTAGAGGCATGTGGCGCACTGTCACACAGCAGGCTTACTTCGGAATCGACTTCCGGATCGATACCCGCCGAGGATAACCAGGCCTTCAACCCAACCCGGTCGGCCAAATGATAACAGTCTCGTGTAGGAGGAGAAAAACACTGACTTGTACAGCGGCCAGCAACAGTAAGCTATTGTAACGGGTGACCCACACGAAGTGTGACGAGCAATGAGAATCGATTTCTAAGCTTCCTGTTTTTTCTTCCTTATATTATGTGGTTATTTGACTTTCCCGCAATTTTTGAATCTATTGCAGGCACCCTTCTTCGCTATTTCTTGGTAAAGGTTGTATCCGTAGGCAGTCAAAGACAAATTTCAGAGATCCTGAATGAAGCATGAGAAAATTGGCCAAGGAACACAATGTGAACAATTCAACTATGCGAACTCTGATCGAGGAGGACATCAGGTCATATTGAAATGAAGGCTTCAAGACTGGAAAAGTGCATGAAGATGAAAGCCTTTGCGCGCGGTGAAAGTCTTGAACGAATTCTTCTCAAAGACGGGAATACTTGCCATTGACCGTTCCAGAACTCGCAGAATCAACTTACATATACTGCTGCCGAAAGGGTCTTCAAGTGTAGTCAGGGTCGAGCAATCTCATCATCCATAGTCGGTGATGGTGTGGGCTGGAATATCGGAGCTTGGCAAGACCAAGCATTGTTTTTGTGGAAAAGGAGTGAAAATAGTTGCTGAGGTCTATGAAAGCAGATGCCAGAGGATGCAGTGACCCCTTGGGCTCAGAAGAATGCGAAGAATGCCAACTGGGCCTTTCAGCAAGATTGGGCACCAGCTCACAGCGTAAAGAATACGCTGCAATGGTGTGAGGCCATGTTTCCGGGTTTTTGGACCAAGGAGGTTTGGTCTTCAAACTCTCCTCATTTTAGTCCTTTGGACTTTGCTGTATGGTCAGTTCTGAAGTAAAACGCCTGCGCTTTCAAACACAAGTCTCTGAACTCTAGAAAAGCTCTCTTGTGAAAGCGTGGGGTGAAATTTTTACAGAAATGATTGTGCGCTTCTCGAAAACTTCTGAAAGAGGTTGGATGCTTGCATCAAACCGAAAGGTGGTCATTTTGAATGCGAGATGTGTTATACATTGTTTACAATTTTCGTTATGATTGCTTAGAAGTAGCTGTTTCCTATTCGGTTTGATTTGTATAAAAACTTCTAATTTTAATTATAATTTTACTGTCAGTTTTCTCTGTTACACTTCATGTGGGTCGCCCTGATAGGCCGCATACGCTTTCAAAACGCCACTGCGATGCAGAAGGGAAGGCCAATTCGAGGCGCGTCCTAAAGAGGATTGTTCCAACCAAAGACTACTTCAATGACTCAGTGCCCAACACCGTTTACTAGCCCTTCAGTTATGGAACTTGCACACAATATAGTTGTCAACAAGTAGACGAAAAAGTATTTCTCCGATGACTTCCGCTGTTTGAGTGTGGCTGAATGGCCCGTAGTACTTTGATGGTAGTTTTTGAATGAAGGCTTTCTCTTCGGAAGGGAAAAAAATGATGACAAGCTGCAAAAGTGCTGACATAAGCGTGAGGCATTTTGCGTGCAAGCATTTTGGGCGTTGGCTATCTACGGTGTTAGTTTACTGCTGTGATAAAGCCTTTTCTGAGCCGAAGGAACGCCATATGTTAACGAGCAACAGAGAGGAACAGTTAGCGGAAGTATAAGCAGTTCAGCATAACCCCATGCTTATGATTTCCCTGATGGTATGATGTGATATCAAGAGCTGTGGCAAGAAATTGCAATTGCTAAAGCCGGTGCCGCAACAGCTCGACATCTTGACGAGGTTTTTGCCTTCAGGAGAGTTGAGCTAAGCTCTACTTTTACGACTGTAGCCCTTTACTCACAGTTGGCGAAGCTCCAAATGCCAATAGATTCCGAACTCCGAGCCGAGCGAGCTTATAGACTATTGTCTCAAATATCTATATCGCATCGAAAATCTCGATTTTTCCAGAGAGCATGAATGCCTCATTAGATCAGCGTCAAGGTGTATAAGAATATTCGGAGAGACTTGGAACGTAATAGAATGCCCATCGCAATGGAACTTCCCCGGAGTGGCATATCTGCTCTTGCAAAAGGCTCCTTTTGCTTCCCACCATGTCATTCTCCCTGCTCCTCATCGTTCTAGACTTTATCCCCTTGCCCCCTTTTTCATCCTTTTCCTCCTCGACTTTGATCCGCTACGGACTTGCCGATGAGGTTCGGTTAGTACCGAATCCTACAACCTCTCACAGCTGTGACCCGATTTCTGAAATGAAATCTGAAGCTCTCTTCCAAATTAACAGAACAACTCAGCAAAACTTCTACCGATCGTACTTTTTCAGAATTATTCATTTACTTGAGGTAAATTTACAGTCAACGGTTATAGACGTGAAATATTTCACTATGTAATTGACCAAAAGATGGAAAAGACAATAAGAACAGCTTGAGGTGAAAACTGCTCAACACTTAAAGTGGAATATGTAACAATTGTATTAAAGCATGAAAGCGCTCCAGTGATAACGAGTTAGTCACGAGGCTCCCATCACATCGCGAGGCAAATGCGTTTTTGTTTTTCTCAAATGACTGGTCAGTAAATGAGGGGTGTTTAACTAATGCAATAGATCTTAAGAAGAGATCTGACTCATCCTTAGACATTGCAGCCTTCATTTCCCATTTTCACTCTACACAAATAACATAAATGATTTAATTGAATTTATTGATGACGACGCACTTCTACACTACAAAAGGCATCCAATCTCTGTTTGACGCTAATCTAGAAAATGGCGATGATTTTTCCATCCTAATTGCTCTCATGTTAAGTTGTTCGGAAAGTATCTACCGAAAAACTCCACGGAAGTCCAGATTTTTCTTCGATTGACCAGCTTGAATGTTTGTGAATGCTCTGAGTGTCCCTGAATGTTGAGGCTTATATGAACACTATAATAGCATGATGCTTTTATATATGCGCATTATACAATACAATCTAGAGGGCAAGATGTGATGTAGTGGAAAGCGGCGCACTACCACACACGCATGGACACGGGTTCGAATCCCGTACCGATATCACCCTAAGTCAACCAGGCCTTCTATCCCTTCGGGGTCGGACAAATGGCACCAGACTCGTCTGGAAGGATATAAGCATTGGCTTGTACATCGGTTGGTCATTGCAAGCATCCCTCAGACGGGATGCTGCTAACAATAAGATGATTATTTCCTTCAATTATTGCTCAGAATAACGGCGAAGATCGATTTCCGCTTAGATCAACCAAGCCTTCCATCCCTCTGGGTCGGTTAATTGGTGCCAGACTCGTCTGAGAGCATAAAAGCACTGACCAATGAGTTGTACATCGGCTGGCCACTGCAACTTATTGTCTAGGCCACATACGCATTCATTACGCAACTACGATTCTGCTGGAGATCGAATGCATGCCGCATCCCTCAGACGGGATTGATTGAAGCCCCAAGACTCTAATTGGACTCGAGCTCATCAATACTTCGGAAGTATGTTGAACTGTGCCTTTTAGTGACAAAGCTAGAGTAAGGCAGGCCACTAACACGATGCCACCCAACGGCTGCTATTCATCGAACGCCGAAAACCCAAAAACTTTGACTTTATCTCATTGATGTCTCCATGAACCACTCACTTCTTTCTTCATCTGTAGATCTATTTTTCAGCTTCTTTAGTTTCTTATGCTATTAACTCCAATTCCACTTTTAGTGAAGTATATTGCTTGCTAGTGATCTTTTTTGTCTTATTTCGTTTCCTCCGCACGGAAAACAATAGTGAATCAGCTAAGTAGAACGAGAAAGCTTCAAAGCGAAAGCGTTTCTGTGGACAACGATCCAGTGTCTGGGAGTGAGATAGCGGCGCCTTTGCTGTTGTGACACCTGGACCCATAGATGGATGAGCGTACAATTTTACATTCTGCGGGAACTTTCAAGCA